AACCGGCCGGTCCGGTACCGGAACCGGTACCGGCCGGCACGGTGACGGTTCCGGTGACATGAGGTGGCGGTACCGGAACCGGCGGTTCCGGAACCGGAACCGTACCGTGTCCACCCCTAGTATGACATGCTACTGAAAAAGAGAAGAATGATAATATGGTAGGGATTGGGACGAGATGAGAGTTCACCTCCTTCTAAATGCTCTAAGAGCACTCGGTATACCCTTCACCATTACAAAAAAAACGCGGAATTGGCACGGCTTTTGGTAGGATTATAGTTTTAGTTTCCCGTGACTATGCATTAGGCATGGAATTTGGCACGGATACGAAACGCTGCCAATTTCGAAGCTCCAAACTGTTGGGCACGGAATCCTAGTCCGTGCCAACGATAGAGACGGCGTCGCTTGTAACAAATTCGTTCCAAAGTAACGGTTGTAAGAATAACGTTAAAGATATTAGGCACAGCTCTGTCCGTGGCAATCGCCCATTCGTATTTAGGCACGACTAAACCACGAATGGTTTTGTCCCGATAGCATTTACAAAATATTGTAATAGGCACGGTACGTAACCGTGCCAAACAAGCCACGTAGATATCCGTGCCTAAATTTTGAAACTTTTCAAAATATTCAAAAAATTTCAAAATTTTCAAATACGTGGGCAGAATATATTTTGAAATTCAATTTTTTCGTCACGGCCATATCCGTGCCTTTATTTTGGAAATTTTCAAAATATTCAAAAAAATTCAAAATTTTCAAATACGCGGGGGATTAAATTTCAAAATTCAAATATTTTGTCACTGCCATATCCGTGCCTTGGATTTCAAAAAAAAATAAAAAAATTTTATTTTGTCACGGATTTATCCGTGCCTTAGTTTTTGAAAAAATAAAAAAACAAATTCGAAATTAAAAAAATAATACATAACACGCCATAATGCAAATACGTAATAAATCACTTGCAGCATAATAAAGTAAAAATAAAAGTAATGTCCACAATGAAAGTAATGTCTAGCATCCAAACGAAGATCACACACAAATGTTAATGAATAATTACAGATTTTCATTGTTTAGAAAACTGTTAACATCACAGTTATTTGAATTCTGTCCCCCCGATTGAACGTTTAGCATTTGGGGGAGGACCGTAGGTTGTTGAAAAACAGGCATTGGAGACATCAAGGGCTGTGAGGCACAATAATAAGAAGGGGTCAGCTGTTGATGAAGCAAAGGGCTTGGACTTCGAGGGGGCTGCACTGTCGGACGAAGAACCTGGAAACTGAGGCCCTGGGTCAAATAATTGACCGACTCTTTCAATCCCTGAAATTGACTTAACAAATCATGGGATTGAGCTTGATATTTCTTCTCTAAATCGGCACTTTTTTCGTGAAATTTTGCTTCAAATTCTTTCTTTAATTTCAGCTCCAATTCGGTCTTCAGCCGGGCAGCGTAGTCTTCGTGACTAGTGCCTCCCGAGGAAAGTGATTCCGAGGATCCAGCTTCACAACCCCGCCCGAAGACCCGGTTCTTGTTGTTCCCCACCACCTCGACGTACAACCCAAGGTCATCTTCTAGTTCTTCCTCAGCAACATCATCAAGACTTATAGAATTGGGCCCCGATCCGGATGCGGCTTGCTTCTTTAGAAGGAGCTTCTCCTTGTAGTCTTTCTACATAAATCACAATTTAATGAACTAATTAAAATGTGATTAATTTTTTTGTGTAAAGAATATTTACTAATTGCAATTCAAATAAATAAATAACCTTGATTTTAGCAACTTCTTGAGACGGTTGGGAACCCTTCTTCACAAACAAGCGGTTAATGACCTTGAGTTGATTTGGAACGACTTTGTCCTCTTGCTCCTATTCACAATTAAATTGAAATAAAAAACTGATATAAGTAAGTAAAGACTACAGAAAAACACTTACCATCTTCTTGATGTGCTCGCTCACGGAACGACACCCCCCATAATATTGCCTTTATTTGCCTTCTCCGTGTTTCGGTTCTTGCTCGACCTCACGCTCTTTGCTCGAAAATCCGGACTTGCCCAATACTTAACCATCGTTTCCCAGTGATCTTCTCCAACAAAACTCGGCTTCTTATTTTTGTTTCGTGAATTCATGGACCTCTTCGTCAACCATACGGACTCACGGTTGTTAAAGGTGCTCATTATGATTTTTTCAGTGTCCGCCGGGTATACCCCAGGCAACCAGGTGTAACGAAGCTATAAAGTCATAAAATTAAATTAGTACTAGAATAAATCATCTAAGTGTATTTCTAAAAAAAATGAAATACTTACACGAAACAGGTTCCACCATCGCTGACGAACTTCCTTGGGGGCGGTTGTGTAGGTATGCCACGGCCCATGAAAACTTTCTTTGATTATGCCTTTAATTGTGTTTAGGACAGCTTGTTCGCTGGAAAAAATATTAAAAACTTAAATCATCATACAAATAATAAATGAGATAATAAAATGCAAAAAATTACCCCTTCAATTTGGCCTTAGTGATCAAGCGCAGAAGATCTCCGTACGGCACTGCAGTAGCCTCCGTTGAAACTCTGTCTCCTCCTTCGCCGCCTCCTACGCCCTCGCCCTCGACCTCAGCCTCCAAGTCGCCACCGGCATTAAATATAGACTGCGGGGTAGTGGTAGATGGCGATTCCGGTGGTGCTCGAGAGTGAGAACGCTGAAAGCTTCCCCTACCGCGAATGCTACCGCGGAAGGAAGTGCTCCTTGTTGAAGACATTGATAGGAGAAGGGTTGTAAGGGAGGAGGGTGGAGGAGGGCGGAGGAGTGACGACTTAGGAGAAAGAGAATAGGAGGAGGAGAGTGGTTAATAAAAAAACGAGAAAAAACGTGTAAGGGGTGGTAATATACTTAACCTTTAGGCACGGTGTTAGGCACGTCCCCATCCGTGCCTACACCGAGCAGTAAATACGCGACATTTTGATAATTAATTAGGCACGACCTTGTCCGTGCCAAACAAATTCAACTCTTCGGTTTTTGGGACTGCATTAATAGCCTCTGCAACTTTGTCAGTCTTTTTTATTGGAACGATTGTAGGCACGTCTTCATCCGTGCCTACACTGAGCAGTAAATACGCGACATTTTGATAATTAAATTGGCACGGCCTTGTCCGTGCCAAAAAAATTCAACTCTTCGGTTTTTGGGCCTTGTCCGTGCCAAAAAAATTCAACATATATACGTCTAGACGTTTTTTGGGATTGTGCGGTCCAGGACAAATTAAAGTTAGGAACAGAAACTCACTACGCATACACATATCAGGTGGTAGATTATACGGTGTAATCATCATAGGCCAACAAGAGTATTGTGCTCCAAACTGTCCATGTGGGGCAAATCCATCCGCGCAGAGGCCTATACGTACATTGCGCGGTTCACACGCAAAATAAGGATGACAACGATCAAAGTGTTTCCATGCTTCAGAATCTGACAGATGACACATTAACGCAGTTTCAGTTTCATGTTCAACATGCCAGGTCATGTGTTTTGCAGTGACAGGCGAGGCATACAACCGTTGTAAGCGCTGAATAAATGGTAGATATATCAGTTTTGATCTAGCACGACTCTTGCGAAGCTTACCTCGTCTTTCGCTCGTAGGCTTGTATCTAGACTCCCCGCAAAATTTGCATGTGTCCAGTTGTTCATCATTTTTCCAAAACAACATACAACCAGCAGGACATGCATCAATTTTAACAACTCGGAGCCCTAGCTCAGAAATCATCTTCTTTAAAGTATAAAAATCTGTAGGTAAATTATGATCTTTTGGTAACCACGCTCCAACAGTTTGTAACCATCTAGACATACAGGCCTCTGGGAGATTCCAATCCGACTTTATGCTCAAGATTTCTAACACGGCAGCTAATGTCGATTTCTCATCGCAATCAGGATATAATGGCTCGTCAGCTGCCTTCAACACTTCTAAAAATTGATCAGACAATGTATTAATATCGTCAGTATGTTGATGAGACGATGAGCTCGGAACATCATTAAAATTTGACGATACAAGAAAAGCATTAGGTGCCATGACATCATACACAACCCGTTGGTCCCAAGTCATGTTCTCATAATTACCCCATGTAGAAACCGACTCTGGAACTACACGTGAACTGCCAACTGTCTGAAGAAAAAATATGACGGATTCAATACTTCGCCATGACAATACCAAGTATAATAATTCTCAATAAAACCTTCTGTGTATAAATGCCAACGCAAGTCGTCTTCAGTAACAAAGTACATATTTTTACATTTCCCACAAGGACATCGAATTTTCTCTCTATCAAGAAATTCAGTTTGGGAACTTGCAAATGTAATAAATTCTTCTACACCATCAAGATATTCACGTGTCAAACCGCGTTTAATCAAAGCATTTTTTTTGTACATCCAACTTCTAGATGATATAGACATAGTACCTGAGTTAGAAGTGCTAGAAAATTAAAATTTTTAAAAAATAAATCACACAAGAATAATTTTATATCCTAAGATCAATGAAAAGACAAAATAATTTTAGGCACGGACAAAGCACGTCCACAGTCGTGCCAACGGCGCTGGTACACAATCAAAATCAAATCATGTTAGGGAATCTTCACTAGGCACAACTATTGGCACTATACCCGCCGTGCCTAGTACGGAATGTCACTAGTTTCAGAATTTTAAAATATTTAACTGTAATAACTCTTTTAAATATCAAATCTATAAATTAAAATTAATTCAAATTTACAAAATGTACATTATTGTAAATAAATCATCAACTAACTATATTTATTAGCGAGATAGAAGATGTTTTTTCACGTAAATTATGTATACATATTAAACACTCGCGTAAAGGATGAAATGAAATTAAAAAACCAAAAAAACATATTACACACATACTTACTGAAATGAAAGTTCATATTCCACACACTTACTGAATGAATGTAATGAAATTAAAAATTCAAAAATATATCGTACCTGGACGGATGTAAGGAAATTGAAATACTCCGTATGTTTCTGGATGAAATGGTTTCGTATATAAAGAAATGGTGAACTGCAATTATTGCAATGTGAACTACTTCCAACTACTTTATAGTACAAAAACTTTATATTCCCTCCGTCCCAAAATATAAGCAACATTACGCTAAACGAAGTAATTTTTTGAATTTTTTCAATCCATTTTATTTAAAGAACGATCTACAAATCAAAAAAATTACATATTTAAAAACTACGTCAAAAGTTCTACAAAACAAGTGGTGACAAGAATATTTTATTCTATCAAATAATCAATGAAAATGCAAAAATAAATAAAAGTTCCCGTGTTTTTTAAATAGTGGAGTGTTGCTTATATTTTAGGACGGAGGGAGTAGAAAACTTTAGTACAAAAACTTTAGGATGTAGTTGTTTTATTTGGATAAGTACGATAGATGTAGATATTTTATTTGGATAAGTTTTTATAATTTTCTATTATTGTAGTTCTTTCTTTTTTTCATCTTAAAAAAAGTTGTATCATGTACTTTTCTCTAATTTTAGTCTTGTTATCTTCCGATTTTAATATATTTAAAAGATAAAAGTTTTTTGTTATGAGTATGATTTAAATGTTTAAATAAATAAAATTATGTATTACGGAGAGTGGCACGGATTTAGGCACGGCTATTTCCATGACAAAACAGTCTTGTCCTTTTCGATTTTGAATTTTATGAGAAAGGTAAGGAATTGGAACGGCTAAATCCGTGCATATTAGTTAGAATAAACGCCGTCCGACAACACCGTTAACGTCTTAACGTTTACGCTATTGGCACGGAATTAGGCACGGACAAATGCAGAGCTAAATTAAAACACAAATAGAAACACGCCATGTGTCATCTTTCCTTTTTCGGCGTAGGCACGGAATGTCCGTGCCTAATATTCCGTGCCAATCCCGAGAGTTTTTTGTAGTGCACGCCCACTGGCGTTAAGCCGCTTTTCACGCCCGGGGGGTGTTAAACACCGCCCCCCTGCGGCGTTACCGGGGCGTTATGGTAGCTGCGTCATTCGTTTGACGCGGCATGCTTCCGATTTTTAACCGTTACCCCCCCCCCCTCCCAAATTAAAAAAAAATCTAAATTTAAAAAAAAAACCTACAAAATCCCCCTTTCTCTCACACATTTCTCACTATCTTCTCTCTAAAATATTTATTATTTATTATAAATATTTATAAAATATATTTTAAAAATGGGATCATCTTCATCCGACGATGAAAAAAGAGCTCTCATTTTTCGTTGTTTCGCCACGAGTTGTATTCAATGGTGGGAAGAAGGCGAAGAAGAAGCCGAATCCTCCCGACGACGGACCCGACGACAATGTTTAAACCGGGATCGAGCGGCCGCCCACGCTTCACTTCTAAACGACAACTTTAATAGTCCGTGTGTTTATACACCGGGGGATTTTAATAATCGTTTTCGGATGAGTCGTCCTCTTTTTTTACGCATACTCGCCGATGTTGAACGCGAGGTTCCTTGGTTCACCCAACGCTTTGATGCGAGGAGGTGCCTATGTACGAAGAAATCAACGAAGAAAAGAAACAAAGAAACCGCCAAGAAATTCGAAGCCGAGAAATTCACAATGCACTAATGGCGGATTTGATCGAACATATCTTTAGTCGCTCGAATAATTAGTAATTTCTTTGTAGTGTTGTTTTTTTGTGTAGTATTTTTTAAATGAATGTAATTTTTTTGATGAATGTATTTTTTTATGAATGTAATTTTTTTAATAAATGTAATTTTTTTAATGCACTAGTCTCATTGCGATTAATTTAAATAATAAATTAATTTAAATTTATTAATTTAAATCTAGAAGATGTATATTTAAAAATGTAAAAAATGAAGGTTTGAAGCCCCGGGGCTTCAAACCCATTCCAGCAAATCTGTGAGGTAACTTAAAGCTAACGTGGCAGAGAGAGAAATTTTTAAGCCCCGGGGCTCCAAACGTATTTCCAGTGCCCTAAGGGAGTTATTTTAAACTCCGTAGCTAACTTTTGAATTTTGTTCTTGGATGTGATGGACAAAAATACAATATGATGTGCTGATTAATAAATATGATATGATACTACATTCATTTTTTGAGTATTTATCTAGTTACACCATAATACTATACATCTAAATTTATAACAAAACACATCAACCACGGAAAGAGATGAATTCTTGTTTAGGTCCAAAATTAGTTTTCTTGCATATTTATTTGGGTGATCATTTACTCAAATGATTTTCTAACATTATGTTTTCATTAATTATTTGATAAAATAAAATATTCTTGAGACCTCTTATTTTGAAGAATTTTTCATGTAATTTTTAAATAGGTAATTTCTTTTATTTCTATATCAATAATTAAATAAAATAAATTGAAAAAATTTGATATTTTGCCTCGTTTTTTGAAATGTGGTAAACATTTAGACACGTGGGGAGTATGAAAAATGTCAATATAATACCAAAAATATTACTCTATCCGTCCCAAATTTGATTAGAATCTTTTTTTCTCGCTCCTTTCGATAACTTTTGTTTATTTGTGTGTTCTAATTGATTATTTGCTAAAATAAAATATTATTGTCATCTTTTATTTTGTAAAATTTTTTATGTAGTTTTTTTTTTAAAATTACTTTTTTATTGATGTAGTAATTTATAAATAAAATTATTTTAAAAGATACAAGATTTTACCTCATAACTTCCAATTTGTAATTAAATTTGGGAGGGATGGTTCCATTCATATTTTGAGCTACTTTCTCCAGAAAACTATACCTAAATATCTCTTATTTTGAGAAACTAACTATCGAGTATCTCGTTCTTTTAAAACATACTTCTTCCGTCCTAAAACTATCTTTGTGTTTACGATATTTGACCAACTTAATTTTCAATTCAATTTATTTGATTGTTGGTGTAAAATTAAAAAATAAAATTTACATATTTAAAATCTACATTAAAAGTTCTACCAAACTAGATATGACAAGACTACATTATTTTATCAAATAAGTAGTAAAAATAGGTAAAGAAAGTAATTTAAATTTAACCGTGTGATTAAAAATTGAGAAAATAATTTTAGGACGGAGAGAATACGACTTGCAATACAAGCATGTCTTTCTTTTCTTAAAGCCCTTAGAACGGGATGACCGAATAAATCTCACAAAATGTGGACCCCGCCTCTCATAATTTTTCTTCTTTATTGATTGTTTTTAGCTGGCGGCAATTTTGGAATCTCACAAAAGGACACTTCTCTTTGCAAGTCACAAGCGTGGCAATCTTGCCCCTATTTAATTTTTTTTTCTTTTCTTTTTTTAAGGAAAAAAATCAGTTAATTTTTTTGAGTAAGTAGTAATATTTTTATGATAAATAAAATAAGTATAATAAATTTTAATAATTAAAATATGTCAAAAAATATAAAAAGATAATAAAAACAATGATTTGCCATTGTAAGGTTTGAAACTCCACTCTTTTGCCACACGCTGACTAAAATATTGGTCTTAATTGGTTAAAATATTCCACGTCAGCGTGTGGCATTCCACTCATTACTTGCCATTGCACATGCTTTTATTGGAAAAACCCTGGTTCCCCAAAACGTTCTGTCAAATTTATCTCCCCACATTTTTATAACTACATCGGTAAAATCATGTCTGAAATAATAAATAAAAATAAAAAAATGGTAACACGAAGAATATAAGTCGGTTAGTTCCCTAATGATTGTGATCAATAGTATATAAGAGAAACAAGCTAAGTAATATGAAAAATGTAATTTTTTATTTAACGAGAAAAGAATTTAATTTAAAATGTCTTAAATGTGAACTTAAATTTAAAACAAAAGAGAAGTACTGGTATTCACTTCAATTGATACGATTTTGTTAAGATCTGATCTAGTTTGATATGATTTGATATGAATTAAATTATACTCCGTATATAATATACTCTGTATATAACTGTTTATGACCTGATCTGGTTTGATATGATTTCAACAATAATAAGTAATACTTCTTCGTTTGGAATTAATCTTCTCATTTGACTTTTTGGATGGTCAATAAAGTTTAAAGCTTTGTCCTCGTTTTGCAAAGAAAATATATTGTGTTTCGATATAAATGTAATAGGAATTTTTTAAAATATAATTTATGAAAAATCAAATGAAAAAGTACAAATCTCGACACAGAAGTTATGTAATATTCCATAAAAATAAATTGAAGAAAATACATTCTAAAAAGAATGAATCTCATCCCTGAAAGGCCCTCAGAACAGTCCAAACAGTCACTTGAGATTTCCCATCAGAGCTGTTCAAATGGTCAATTGAGACTAAGATGAGGTAAATTAAGTTTTAATCACAAAATAGTGATAAAGAATGAAGTCTACACCTACTATCTGCAAAGATTGAATGTTATGTTTAGTTATCTGTCTATGCAATCACCAAAAATCGAACTCAAATGTTATCTATTGTACAACAAATTTTATGGTAAATCTACATATAGAACCACTCCTAGTGTACACCTCTTTCCTTGTCAATTGACTAACGCCTCTCAAAGGAAGAATACATTCTAAGTAATGAAGATAGAGATGAAAGAGAATCATGTTCAAAAAGAAAGAAAAGATAAAAAGGTGAAAGGGAGATGCTCTATTTACTTTGTCACCGGCAAACTAAGATGCTATGGTGGTCCAAGCACTCAAAGCACTATCATGCATAATGAACTTTTAAAAATTGGCCAAATGAACTTTTAAAAAATGGCCAAATAGTTGGAGTGCCTAGTTGCTTGGAAAAATATTTTCTTTGTCCTAAATTGGTCTTTATTTCCCATTTATGAAGAAAAACTGAAATTTTTTAAAATTAATTTATTTAAAAATTATTATATGAATAATTAATAAAATGTACATATTAATAGACTACATTGATAGTACTACAAAACAAGTTGTGACATAATATTTTATTTTATCAATAAATTAATGAAAACAAACAAAAATTATGGAGATTCTTTATAAACTCATCAAACCTTCAAAGTTGAAACTTTGAACATGCACATAGGAAAAAAGGGTCTTCGCACATAAATAAAAGCCACAAATTCATGTGTTTCCTTAGTTTTCTTATTTTGCCAGGTCTACCTTCAACAATCTCTTTGTTTTCTTCCCATCAGGCGTGGAGTTCATGACCTAGAATCGGGTCTCTAGGATTTATGGTAAAATCCAACGAAAAAACATTTTGAACCGAAGTCCTCCATCTTTGCAATCGTTGTTGGGGAATTAAACACACAACCCACACAAATAATTTGCGAGAAACGAGAGAAACAGAACACGGACGACACACAAGAACTTAACGTGGTTCGATTTTCCTACTCCACGGTTGGAACAGGAGGATTTTATTCACTTGTCGTGTCTCACGGAATTACAAGTACAAAATGCGTATATATATGGGAAAAAGCTAGGGTTACATAACATGGGCCGACCAATAAGTCAAGCCCAAGTCTCCACAAACTCAACATTCTCTCACTTGAGGCTAGATAATCATCAACTGTAATGTCATCCGCCACGATTGCTTGTACATCGAGTAATCTTTCTTAGCTCTCCTACAGCAGTGGCCTTCTCATCAGACAACTGAACGGCCCGTTGAAGCTCTCCTGAGCTTTAACACATCAGTCACGGCTAAATCTGCCCCTGACTCGTCTTCGGTCCCTACCGGCTCCCACTACAGACGCACACTACCGGATCATGAAACATCCTGAGAAGAAACACTCTCCATACTCAGCAAGAAATTTTCTGAAGATGTTCCAACAGCTGGAATACTGGTTCTCCTGACCCACACATGTCTTCTGGGAAACTTGGTTGAAACGCCTCTTGAGCTCCCACTGCCACACATGTCTCTGACTGGCCTCCTTGAACCTTTCCTCGCTCGTTCATCCCGAGTCTAACCTGTGGCTCTGGGTTTCTCTCTTGCATAGACAACCTTATATCTCTCCATACGAGGCAACATGGCAAATATTTGGATTTGCAATACAATATAAATGTCATAATGTTGAACGTTTAAGCTTTCACCTTCATGGTGAACAGTGGATTTTCTTTGAAGATGATGATGCAAGTGATGTTTACACTTAAGAGAGCATATGGGAGAGTAAATTTCTTGCTTGAATGAAAGGAAATGACAAATATCCTCTTGCAAAGACGCTAACGTATGCCGAGTTCTCGTAAAAATTTGTTTGGAAGCAAGCTAAAAGAGAGTATGTACCTTGACTCAAAGGGTTTGCTATGGGACGTGTTGTATACGTCCCACCAGGCTCTGGTGAATCTTATTATATGAGAATTCTTTTAAACATCGTTCGAGGTCCAACTTCGTAAGAAGATTTAAGAAGTGTCAATGGTGTTATTCACAACACCTATCGCGATACATGCTATGCTATGAGATTACTAGACAATGACAAAGAGTACATCTATGCCTTTAAGGAAGCAAGTTCTTGGTGTTCAGCCAAACAGATGAGATTCTTATTTGTTACACTATTAACAAACGAATCAATGTCTAGACCAAAACATGTTTGGGAACAATGTTGGGAATTCATGGGTGATGACATCCTACATTGTCAAAGATGTCTTCTAAGTCATCAAGGTATTATACAACTAATATTATTAGTATTGTAAAAGATAATCTCTTTGATTAACTTAAGTCATCTTATGCATAGGTTTAGTCTTAACTGAAGATCAAATAAAAAATTATGCCTTGATCGAGTTTGAGATGTTACTTAGGATGCGAGCTAAGACTCTTTGAGATTTCATTGACATGCCTTTTCCCATTCAAGATGCAGCTTCAACAACTCGCAATAAACTAATTCTTGACGAATTACAATATGATCGGCATGCATTGAAAGATGAACATCATAAGATGATGGGAAAGTTGAATGACGAACAACGTCACGCTTATGAAATAATAATGGCGTCTGCTGATTCGGGTTAGGGGAATTTTTTTTTGTTTTCGTTTATGGCGGAACTGGAAAGACTTTTGTCTGGAAAACTTTATCTACTTCTATACGTTCAAGAGGAGATATTGTGTTAAATGTTGCTTCAAGTGGTATTGCCTCATTATTGTTACCCGTGGGGAGAACTGCTCACTCGCGCTTTGGAATTCCTATTAATCCCCAAGAAAATTCCATATGTAACATTACATAGAAAACACCTCTTGCAGATTTATTGGTTAGTAGCAAGCTTATAATCTGGTACGAATCTCCAATGACCCATAAATACTGTTTCAAAGTTGTGGACTGAACTCTACGTGATGTAATGAGTGTAATTTGTCCATCAAATTCAAATCTTCCTTTTGGAGGAAAGACAATTGTGTTTAGAGGAGATTTTTGTGCAAATATTGTAGTGTCTTACGATTGACAACTAACATGAGTTTACAACAAATGTTTCGCGATGACAACTTAGAGAGCATGAGAGAATTTGCAGAATTGTGAGTATCGATGATGGTTTTGCCAGGTGAGAGAATGATGGAGTTGGCGAGGTCATTATCCTAGAAGATATGTTCTTAAAAACTATAAGTGATCCAATAGCATCTATAGTAAATTCAACTTACTCAGGCTTCCACAATATTACAAATGATCCAACATATTTGCAAACTCGAGCAATCTTGGCACCAACACTAGAAGTCGTGGATGAAATAAATGAAACAAAGTCGGAGAAGCAAAAACTTACTTGAGTTCTGATGTAGTGTGTAAATCTGATGCAAACGTAGACTTCTTAACAGACATGCATTCTCCTGAATTTCTAAATAATATGCGAGCATCTGGTGTACCAAGCCATGAGTTGAAGTTAAAGATCAAAACACCAATCATGTTGTTGAGGAATATTGACCAATCTTCTCGTTTTTGCAATGGGACAAGGTTGCTTGTTACTCGATTGGGCCATCATCTTATTCAAGCTACAGTGCTTACAAGAAAAAAATATTGGACAAGAAGTTGTTATCCCACGGTTGTTGCTTACACCGTCAGATACGGGAATTCCTTTTAAGTTTCAAAGGAAACAATTCCCAATTATAATTTCATATGCAATGACAATTAATAAAAGTCAAGGGCAATCATTGTCGCATGTTGGGCTTTTACTGAAGAAGTCAGTATTCAGCCATGACCAGCTTTATGTAGCGTTTTCATGTGTCACAAATCGCAGAGGTTTAAAGATTTTGATATGCAATGATGACCCAGCTAAGATGAATCAAACTACAAATGTAGTTTATAAAGAAGTTTTCCAAAACTTATAATGTAATGGTTCCACAATCTATATCATTGTATACTTTCTCCTCTTAAATATTTCATTATATATTCATATGTTAATTGAATCCTATCGAATTCCAACATCAATACTTTGCCTAATTATTTAGTTTTTAATTAGGTCGTGCAACACATGGGTTCGAGTCTAGTATTTTCAAAAACAAAACGAAAAATCAGGCATTGGCTATAAACATGATAATGCAAAAATAAAAATAGAAATTATAGATGCAAACATATTAAAGAAAATCCCCTACATAAGAGTAAAACAAATGTGATTTCTCTAAAATATAACTTCAAACTTACACTCCTTTAAATAAGAGTAAAATTATTAAAATAAAAAATCAATCCCATGCGCCCCTTTTTTTGTTTCCCGGAACCCGTCCAGTTTTTTCAATCCTTTCCAATCTTCATCTCTGCCACCCAATGGGAGTGCATCACCGCCGCCACTTCCGTATCCAATGTCATCGCCGTTGCCACACAGCACCACCCGTCTAAGACTCATCGCTACACCCCTATCAGATTTGCCACTACACCCCACCTCCATTTCACAACACCATTGTCGCTGACGCTGCCCAATTGTTGTGTACGTCATGGCCGCATGGGTGGTCCGGAGGGTGTGTAAAGTGGCCAACCACACAGGGCACCTAAAATTTTAGGGCCTCATATTTTTAAAAATCATCATTAATTTTGAAGCATAAGTATTCTAAAGAATTCAAGATAATAAAATAGGGCACAAAATGAAAATTTTGGACCGGGTCAATTTCATTTTTTTATTTTTGGAGGCCGGCCCTGCATGGCCGTGTAGACCCCCGCCCTCAAAGATTCGTTGCAACATCCCTCTCAGATATGCTATGCTGCCCCACCGTTTTCGTCCTTAAGAGCTTTGATTTCAAAAGTGGGTGGATTCTTTCTTAATCCTTAATTAAATTTAGTTTTCCTTGAATTTTGTTTGGATGCTTTGGGATGGAGCTTTGGTGTTGGAAAATGGGTGTCTGCCACTATAGGGGACGATTGACCATCTATTTGTCCAATGGGGGTCAGGTAAAAAGCCAATGGTCGCCTGTAATGTGCAGGGCATTCTGTTATGTTTTGCATTATGCCTTTGTGTGATATTGTGAGTTTGCATTGTGACATTATATATTGATGGCTATAAACCACCGAATATATTAAATAATACTCCCTCCGTTCCACAAAACCCTTCCGGTTTTGACTTTGGGGAAAAATAAGGAAAGTGTAATTTTGGTTGACTTTCCAATTTTGCCCCTGATGTGATGGGAAAAAGTAAGATGTGACAGTTTGGTTATTAGTGAAAAAGTATGATGTGATAGGTAGGGTATGAAAAAGTAGGGGTAAAAGTGGTTTTTTAATAGAAAATGGAAGTGTTTTGTGGAAAGCAAAAAAAACGAAGAAGGAAGAGTTTTGTGGAATGAAGGGAGTATAAGTTTTAGAGAGAGAATACAAAGTAGGAGTATATTGACTTAGAATCCGGATCTATTACAATGAGGGGTACCACCCCTTTTATAGGGGATACAATACACTAAGTCAATGCCCTCTGATCGAGGTTCGTCGGCTAGCGGACGTCACCTGTCCCTTAGTCTTGGCTGGCCGAGTCGAGTCGGGAGGGTCGAGCGGAGCACGAGAGTTGAGCCTGGAGGGCCGAGCGGAGCTCGCGAGCCGAGTCGGGAGGGCCGAGCGGAGTGTGAGAGTTGAGCCTGGAGGGCCGAGCGGAGCTGGGAGGGCCGAGTGGAGCGTGCGTGCTAGGCGGGCATGATTGAGTCGAGCTCGTGTTCCGGGCGGATATGACCGAGTCAAGCAGGGGAGGCGAGCCGAGCCCGTGTGCTGTGTAGGTATGACCGAGCCGAGCTGGGGAGGCCGAGCCGAACTCGTGTGCTAGGTAGATATGATTGAGCCGAGCTGGGGAGGCCGAGCTGCCGTGTGCTGGGTAGATATTACCGAGCCGAGCCTGGCGCTCTTCCCTACGAAAAGGGGCCCAGCTGACGTCAGCCCTAAGCTAACATGGAGTTATCCTCCATCATATATGATCGAGTATTTGTGGCATTATACATTGTCGTGTGTGATATTGATGTGGTGTCATGTTTGTGATGTAAATTGTATTGACAGCTAATTAATGTTTCTTTGACATTGTATTGACAGCTAATTAATGTTACACTACGACGACGACGATGCAAATTGGGATGCTATTGTAGGAAAAAATGGTAGAGAGCGGTGGTGACGGCAAAAAATCTACAATGGAAATAGAGAATTTTGATAGCAGTGGCAATTTGGCGAAAGTGGAGATTCAAGTGATAGTGACAGGAACACGAGCATGGGCAATAAGCTTACGGTGGACCATGTGGGTAATTACTAATTAGATTATAAAGACTAATTTAAAAAAAGCACTGGATTTTAAAGGGCTCTATAGTAAACAAATAGAAAAATGAACTCAGGCTGGTTTGAAGCTTTGTTTGGCAGTGAACGACGACTCATGGCGGCAGCTCGCCGGATCTTAGTAAGAACACGGTAAAAATAATTCTATTGCTATTTGCTTCAGAATCATAGGCATGATCTTCATACGTATGCCTCATCGCATCTAATTGGTGTTGCCTTTTGGGGAAAATTTGTAGTGTTGTTTGAGGGTCCGTTTGGTATAAGAAATTGGTAGAATTGGAATTGAAATTCTATGGGATTCAATTCCATTGAATTGAATTCTGTCAATTTCAATTCATTTTTTGCAC